GCTGCAGCTCATTGTTAGGGTCTCACACATTTAAGTAGTTTCTCCATGAATCTGGCGGCTTAGGTATTTCGGCCCCCGTTCCCCCCGCCCTTGGCATTGATAGATTAGCAAAAGGAAACCATTTAGACGGCACTCTATAGGGCCCCGGCCCACACGGTGAATGATTTCCAATGCCTGGTTTAATTTATTTTTAAATGAAATTTGTTATTGATTCTGGATTAAAAGGACAAATCTTACGGCTGTTACCACTGACAGAGGCATGGTGATCAAGTGACACCTTTCAAGAAGGGAGGGAGAGTGGCCACCCCACGTGAAGGAAGGCTGGCCATGCTTAACTCAGACACAAGACACAATAATGCATTCTGCTTGAATTGCGGGGGGGCACTTCTGAAAAAGATTTATTTATTCATTTGAACAGCCGAGCGGTATGGAAAGAGACAGACAGGCAAAGAGAGCTTCCGTCTGTTGATTCACTCCTCAAATGGTTACAATGGCCAGGACTGGTCCAGGCCAAAGGCAGGAACCTGGAACTCCATCCTCAGCTCTCATGTAGATGTCAGGGGTCCCAGTACTTGGATCATCATGTGCTGCCTTGGCAGGTGCATTATCAGGGAGCTGGATAAAGAGAGCAGAAAGCATGCAGGACCCTAACTGGCATTCCATGGTGGACGCAGGCATTGGAAGTGCCTCTGCAATACCATCCTTTCGGGAAGCATTTTAAAAAGGTCATTTTGGGGGATTGGCATCCTGGCGTAGCCAGTAAAGCACCACCTCCTTTGGGTACTTGGTAGAACCCTGGACACTGCACATCTGTTCCAGCTCCCTGCTGATGACTTGGGAAAGCAGCAGAAAATGGTCCAAGGGCTTGGACCAACTGTCATTTATGTGGGAGACCTAGAGGAAGCTCTTGGATTCTGGCTTCAGCCTATTTTCTCCACCCCCCCCCTTCTCTCTCTTTCCAACTGTTATTTTCAACTAAATCTTTTTTAAAAATCATATTTGGGTGTGGGCACTTGGTGCCTGGTTTGAGTCCCAGCTCCTCCACTTCCAATCTAGTTTCCCACAAGGGGTCCACAGGAAGGCAGTAGGTGACACCTCGAGTTCTGGGTCCCTGGCATACACATGAGACTCAGATTGAGTTCCAAGCTCCTGACTTTGGCCTGGCCCAGTCCTGGCTGCTGTGGGCAAGTGGGCACTTCCAGTGGATGAAAGAAAGATCTGTCTTTCAAATAGAATGAAAATGAGTAAGTAAACATTTTTGAAAAATGGTTTTCTCAACCACAGGCTTGGCATGATGTCACCTTCCGAGTCTCATTTGTGTAATGGAAATAGCAGAGATGTTTGCCTCCAGGCATCCACGTGATTGCCAGATGCTTGTTTAGGGAACTCCAGGGGATAGGAGGCCGACTGTCTCTCAGAGCAAGCCCAAAGTCCAGGAAGTGATAAAAGTCACCCACCATCATTAGGAGGCTGTTTCCTGGCATGTGCTCTGGTTACCTTCTGCCTCACCTGGGCTCTCAGCTTCCATACCGCCTGCCATTCGCTGCAAGACAGAAGTGGCACAGTGGGTGGGACGTGGTTTGGTGATTCGTCCTTTTGCATCCAACTGGGCTACCTCCCTGTGCAGCCCTGTACACTTGACTCCACGTCTCTGAGCTCCTGCTTCCTCTTCTGTAACAAGAGGATGATGCTATTGGCCTCAGGTGTTGCAGGGGTTCAATGACCAGATGAGATGGTGGCCGCCGCGGCAACTGAAAATGCAGCAGGTGGGACAGCTGGGGGCGGCGGGGGCGGGTGTAGAGCCCTAAATTGAACTTGGGTTCCTCATGGTTAGCTGTGTGACTCAGAGGAAGTCACTTACCCTCTCTGGGTCTTACTTTCTAAGCTGGAAAGTGGGCTGGTATCACCAGAGATACACATGTATTATACCTGGGAGTATGTCTCTGCTCCACCACTGGCTTGCTGTGTGCCTCTGGGCAGGACACCTCACCTTTCTGAGCCTCTTCTTTATCTGCAGACCAACAGCAGCAGCAAGCATAGTTAACAACACAGATCTGATATTTTCTATGTATTAGGCACTGTTTTAAGCACTTTCTGTGTAGCAACTCTTACACTCCTCGGAGTCACATTATGAGTATGACTGTCCTTATTGTACACATGAAGAAACTAGCAGGAGGCTAGCAGAAGACTAGGAGCTGGCAGGATGCGAAACTCGAGAGTGTGACTCTGGAGCTCAAATTTACAATCACACTCTGCTATCCCATGGCCTGGTTGTTCCGAGGATGAAGCAGGATAATTACATTTGTAGCACAATGCTAGGTCTACAGCCAGGAGTCAATAGAGGCTTGGAGAATAGGAGAATGTAGCAGGCATTGCCTACTCTGGATAACTCAGACTGGGCCTTGGCCAATGAAGGATTCAGGGGAAAGCAGACCTGCAAGTGTAAGGGAAGCCCTGGGAAGGGCCACGACATCGTGACACTAAGGCACGATGCTCAGGGAGGGAACAATGGCTGGAGCAGAGAGTGGGTGCAGGAAGAGGGACCAACACTGTGAATGTCAGGGAGAGGAGTCGGGGCTTCTCAGAGAAGCACAGGCCATTGGAGGGGTTTTGACAAGAGCTGATCTGGCATAAGACTTCTCAAAGCCATGCAGTGCCTGGAGGTCTGTGCTTGAAGGAACCTCAGAAGTTACTACATCTAGCCTTGCTCCCAATGTGGCAAGGGAAGATTCTTGAAGGTCAGCCAGGTCAGTGGCAGAGCAGCCCTGTGCTCCACCCCAGACCTTCCTCTCCCTGGCAGTCTCTTTTGTACTTCTCTATCCTGAACCCTTGTCCCTGCCACACTCACTCCATCCTATGGTTTAAGAGAAGAAAGTGCTGTATTTGAGCCCTGATTTCCCTTACTACAGCCTTCTAAGAGGCCTGCAGCTAGGGCTTGCTGGGGCCACACAAGCTCAGAGTCTCAGCTCTGCCTCTCCTTAATGGGAGCGACGGTGGCCGTTTCACTGGGAGTGAGGCACCAGTGAATTAATGATAAAATGCTTGCTAAGGTCCAAGACCCCTGACCAACTTGGAATAACCTCAATATCACTGCTGTGCATGAAGAATGAAAAAAAAATAATAATAATAAAGCCAGTTAGATTCCAACAGGTTCAGCCTGGGAGGGATCTGTCGCGGTGCTGAAGGAAGCTACTCGCTGGACCTGCTGGCGCTGTCCGCGGTGCTAAGAACCTGCTCTTGGAAGTGCGTGTCTCTTCTGGGCTCTCCTCAGTTCTGGCGATCAGGCGCCCCATCCGGTGTGCTGCTGGACAGTGAGGGTGCAAAGGCAGAGTAAAAACAGCAAAGGAGGAGCGGCCATTGGTGTTGCAGCTAAGACGCTGCATCCCGGATTGGAGGGCCTGAGTTCCAGTGTCTCTGCTGCTCCCAATTCCAGCCTTCTGGGAAGTAGCAGGCGACAGTTCAAGCACTTGAGTTCTTGCTATCCAGAAGGGAAGCCCACATTGTGTTCCAGGCTCCTGGCTTTGGCCTGACCCAGCCCTGACTGCTGCTAGAGAGTGAATCGGTGAATTTGCTTTCTCTCTCTCCTCTCTAAAGATGGGACGGGAGGTGGGGCAGAGAACAGTATGCCCCTTGGACTCTAACCTCATTCTAAAACTTGGGGCACTATTTATCATGCCAGATACCAGATCTACCCGTGGGCTTCAGTGGGGGATGGGGAGGAAGCTGGGGTGGGGATGTTTGTCCACGCTGCACAGAGCAGGCTCCTGGAGCACTGTAGTCCGAGGTACCAGAAAGCAGGGTGTCTGCTGGCAACGTCTGCATTCTAGTGCTGAAACCACAGCTGACAAAGGAGGCGTGCCAGAAGCTAAACCTGAGGGGACTGCAAGGGAGGATAGCAGGCGGGACCTGCCCCAGGGCCAGGGCACCTTGGGACATGAGACCCCCCAGACACACTAATCCTCTGGTTGAGGTGTTTCCTGGTCTGATTCAGGTCAGCCCTTCTGTGTTCACTGAGGGTCGTCCACACAGCCCTGGTGAGAACAATTAGGGAAAGACTCGCAGAATCTCGTTGGATTCCTGCTCTGGGATGGGAATGGCTCCATTCCCTTCTATCCCCCCTCTCCCCTTCCACTCACACGGATTCCTTGTAGGCTCACGAGTCCAGGAGGGGAGCTCTGCAGTCCAGAAGGGGGTGATCCGACCCCCTGTGCAGAGCCAAGCTTCTCCTGGCCCCGCCAGCAGGCTGGCCTCCATCCCATTATGCAGACGGGAAAACAGAGAGGAACAACAACCGCGCCGCTTACTGAACTCGGGCCACATAAGCACTGTCGTGCGCTGCGCTGTGCGAAAGCCTTTCCACGCCCCCTGGAGGAGGCTTCTATTGTCCCCATTCCTCAGACGAAGACCTTGAGGTTCAGACCGGCAGAGTCACACACGGGGATCCCCCAACTATGACCCTCACTTACAAGACACGCCCTCCGCCCTCTGAAATCAGACACAGCCTTGATTGGCAAAGTTGAGGCTGCCCTCGGGGCGTGCCGAGCGCGACAGCAGGTGCATTGCGTTTTGCCCTGCAGGGGAGTATGCGACCGTGAGCCGATCGGGTTAAGCAGGCTTCGTGTGAAGCCGATACTTGGGGTGGCCTCCTCCAGCCTACGCTGCCCCACCCCCCAGCTCTCGGGCGGTGGAAAGTTGCGGGTACCGCTTTAAAAAAATCCCAGCCTGGGCAAAAACTTTGATGATAAATCAAGCGGCGGATCCCTCCGCCGCCGCCTGCTCCGGGCGGGCGGGTGCGTCGGCGCGAGCGGCGTGGCCTTCCGCCGAGAGGAAGAGTCCCGCAGTCGGCGGCGCGACCGGCGGGGTGTGCGCTCGCTGCCCGCTGCCCGCTGCCCGCAGCCGGGGCCGGGCCGGATCGGGCCGAGGGCCGGCCAGCGCAGCCGCGCCGGGGCCGCGCACCAGGGCCAGGCGGCGCCGGAGGCCCGGCAGCCAGGCCGCCCCCGGGGCGCGGGCGCTGCGGTGTGCCAAGCCCCCATGTGAGCCGGCGGTGCCCCCGGCCCGAGCGCGCACCATGGGGGCCCCGCTCGCCGGGGCGCTGGGCGCCCTTCACTACCTGGCACTTTTCCTGCAACTCGGAGGCGCCACGCGAGCCGCCGGTCGCGCGCCCTGGGACAACCACGTCTCCGGCCACGGTGAGTTCGGTCGCCGCCCCCACGGACTTGCCCACCCCACCCTACCCCACCCGCCGCCGCGCCGCTCCAACTTGGCCACCCCGCGGCTCCAGCTCTGGCCTTAGCGGGGCGACTCGGGGCTCCCCCTGTTGGGGCTGGGGACCCGCCCCCCGACACCCCAGCCAAGCCAGTGGAGGAGGGGGTGCCCCGGACGCACCCTGCTTCCCGCGTCGTGAGAAGCCCCCGGTCCGTGTTCTCTCTCTCTCTCTCTCTCTCTCTCTCTCTCTCTCTCTCTCTCATTCTCTCTCTCACCCACCACACACTGCCTCGGCTGCAGCCCCCACCACAGCCACCATTCGCTGCTGCTTTATCAGCCTCACAACTCCTACCGTCGCCCCCACACACGCCTCAGGTCTCCCTCCTCACTCGGCAGTACTCACGCTTGTGCCCACTGCACACACGCGTGAGGCAGAGCCATAGATTTACACAGTCACTTGTGAACACACTTTGCCCACCCCTCTCTGCCCATCTGTGGGTTTAACCCCACAGCTGCCCTCACCTCCTCCCTCCCTTCTTTCCTAGCCCTGCCCCTGAGGCCACTGACAAGAACCCTTCTTGGAGACAGTGGCCTGGGGCTGTAGCTTCCCCTGCTGGGGAGGGAGTCTCCAGGGGTGCCACTCCAAGGCCCTGGGATATTGGGGTGCTGTTTCCAGCTGCAGGTGGGGCTTGTGGGAGGAATGTCACCTCTGCGAGGGGTGGGGGAACAGAAAACCTGTGCCACTTCTCTGTAGCATCTCTCCCTCCCACTCCACCCCGCGCCCCCAGGCCCTAACCCCTGCCCCAAAGGCTGAACTGTGGCGCTGTGAGCCAGCACCCATTCCCAGCTCAGGGCTGCCTGCCTGTCAGTTGTACCTTACCCCAAAGCAGCCTAACTTGGCAACAGAGTTGGATTAGCTGAGACTGGCAGCTGGGGGGGGGGGGCTCCTCCTGTCCCTGTGATGGGCTCTGCAAACCCTAAGGCCCCCTGTTCCAGCTGGGTCCTCCCTGCCCGGGGTTCCCAGCTTGTCAGTGTGCTGGGTGCCAAGGCTACAGGGATCCTGAGTGTTTGATGCCAACAGAATGAGTGAGGAGTGTGTGACAAATGACCAAGGAGGTTTGCTGGGGCGTAACGAGTGGGTGGCACTGGCCCAAGGGAGAAAGAGGCTTCCAACGCCACCCTTGGGTCTCTGTGTTTGGGGTACACCCTCTGCCTTGCTGCTTTGGGAACTGTCCTGTACCTCCATGTCCCTTACCTCATCTCTCCCGCGACACGCTGGGTGTGTTGAGGAGTGACAGGGGAGAGGTTCCTTTGATCCTCAACTCAGAGTTGGGGAAACTGAGGCGCCCAGAGATAAAGGGAGTTGCCCAAGGTCACACAGGGAGTAAATGGCTGCGCCAGGACAGGCGCCGGGATCTGTGGGCAAAGACAGTGCTTTTCTCAAGCTATTTCTCTCTTGTTAGTGTCCCTCCCATGCAAAGAAAACCGGGAATTCCTCCCTGCTCCTCCTCTTCTGCCCTGCCATCCGTGCTCAGCTGCTTGGCACACTCGGAAGTCGCGCTAGGAGGCTTCTTCAGGGAAGGACTTCCCCTGAGCTGGCATCGTCCCTGAGAGGTGCAAGACCTGAGGCTCGGCACCCTGCAGTCACCCTGTCCCTGGGGCAGCAGACCTTGGGGGACTTGGGTGCACCCTGTCGCTCCCCAGGAAGCAGAGACTGCTTTCTTTGTGACAGTCCCTGCGTGCCCCCTGGTGCCAGGTCCATGGAGGGGGCACGGCTGTGCCTTCCCCATGGGCACACTGGAAAGGCATGACCACCAAGGCCCAGGAGAGGGGCTGGACGGAACGGAATTCTGACTTATCATCCAGATTCCCTGTGTGACCCAGAGCAAAGATGAATCCATAATCTCTGGGCTCCCCTCTGTCCCTTAAGAAAGGAGAAGGCTGGACTACCCTGCCAGCTTCAAGCTGCCTTTGCCTGACATTGCTGGGTTCAGAGTCACCAAGCCAGGGCTGCCGGGAGGGCCCCCTGCCTCTGCCCCTGTGCCGGGCCAAGTGCCTGCCACCACAGGAAGGGTTTGGAGCCACTCACTTAATCACAAAGAGAAACTGTTATTAATGATAGTGAGACACGGCGAATAAGTGGGTCATGTCTAATAAGCCATTTGTGTTCAGGAGGAGAATACCAATTTGATAAAAGCTGTGTGTGCTGAAAAAGCTCCGAAATTGCTGTTTAGCAGATTGGAGCCTGATCGTTTCATTATTCCTGGGCTCCGCACATCCTCAGCTGATTCGGAAAATGTGGCCTGCTCGGGAAGGTTTCTCTGTGTCTGGGTGTGTGTGGGGTGGGGGTGTGGCATGCAGGAAACAGGAGCTCCTGGGGAAGGGCCCTGCAGATGACCCCAGCCGCTTACTGGCTGCTCACCGCCTCTGCTCCAGCTCCAAGCATCTCAGCCCAGCCACGCCGCTGCCTCCGTCACCAAGGTAGCCCTTTCTGCTTGCCCGCCCCTGGGGGACTGGTCATAGGGAAAGCCCACTCAGATGGGTCGTTCAGGAAGGGTATGGGTCTCATATTCTCCTACTTGGAGGAGGACTTTTTCAAGGTGTGAGGAATGGATGGGCAGTGAGTGGTGCTTGGTGTCCCAGGAGGCTCCAGGAACTGGGCTGCGCGGTGGCGAGAGGGTCTGCACACGGTATGCGCTACATCACAGGCAGTAGGTTAGCTTACTGTCAGGAGCACGGCAGAGATGGGAGTGGAAGGGAAGGGAACTGACATTTATGAAATGCCTGCTGTTTACCTATGCCCCAGGCCCGGGCTCAGTCCCTCGGGCTTGCACCACTCATGGTGTGGACTGTGTAAGGAAAGTACGGAGTATATAGGGAGCTGGCGCCCTTAGCATGGCAGTGCAGCTGGCAGTTCAGATGAGCCTGGAGATAGGTTCGCCCAGTGACCTGACCCTGCCTCTCTCCCTTCCTTCTGTCCAGGGGACCCACAAAGCCCTGGGGGTCCCACCAAGGGGGCACCAGCAGCTTATAAAGTGACAACATCTTGTTGGGCAAGCATCATGGGCAAGTTAGGAGCAGATTGCTGGACCCAGCTCCTTAGCCGGTGCTCTGTCCAGGTCTGGGCCAGGAGGCAAGGTCTTTTGTGAGGAGCTTTGGTGCAGGTTCCCACTGCTACTTTGGAGCTCCCCCAACCCTGGAATTTGTAACAACACAGCCCTCAGGGTCCCCCAGGCCTACTGACGCGGGGTGGGGGACTCCTGATGGGACTTGGAGTATACCTTTTAGTAAGCAGCTTGTTACAGGAGGGGTGAGGGCAGGCCATCATCTTAGGGCCAGGGGCTGCCTTCTTTTTAGTTTGCCCTGGATGGCGAGGTCCAGATTGGGGCAGGTGGTGTATTGGAGCTCCAGAAAACCTCCTGCTGCAGCTAGCACACATGCATACGTGCACGCACACACACACACACACACACACACACACACACACGCACGCACACACCAGGCCAACACCTTCAATTATTAATACACCCCAATGCAGACAAAGACCCTGGCTTGGCCAGGCGCCTCTGTCCATTGAGTGATTCACTCTCCTAAGATTCTGCCTGGGGTGTGTGGCCAGGAGCGAGCAGTGGGGTGCTGGGAGGAGGGGCACTGGGCCACTTGGCAAGCAGTCTGTACACTGAAAAATGACTCCGATGGTCCTGTGTTCTTCACAGAACTGTTAGTATCTTGCCATCAATAAGCCACTGCTTTGGTGCCTGGAAGACGGGAAAATTGAGTCCCTCTGCCTGAGGTTGTGATGGTGAAATGCCTTGGGTTTGGTCTCAGTCTGCCACAATACTCAGTCCATTCTGCCTATAAAACACTCTGCCTGGGACTGGGGGATGGTCCCTGCTCCTGTGGGGAGCTGGCCTGTCCTTGTCCACCTGCTGGCTTCCCCAAGTGTTTCTCACCAGTTGGTTTTGACATTGTGCCCATCGGTGGCAGTTCCCATGGAGTCATCCCCAGGCAAGGGAAACCGCAGGCGGCCAGCTGGATATAGGGTATTCGGCTGCCTGCCACTGTGACGGGAAGGGTGACAAATTCTCCGAGGGGCAAAGGAGGAAGCTAGGTGTGGGAGCCAGGTGAGTGTCCCTGCTGTCCTCCCCAACACCGGGGCAGGAGGCGGAGCCTGGGGAATGACTGGAGTCCTCACTGCTAGACTGCCCAGGGCACAGGGGACTCACCTCAAGCTGCCCTGGAGGCTGCTGCTTGGCTTGTAGGAGCACATGGTCTAACTTGGTGCAGGCAGAAGAGCCAGTCTGCGGACAGATGTATACTGGGTGTCATGGAAGGACCTCAAATGGTCTCACTTGATTCTTACAGGAACCTCAGGAAGGGCCCCTTTCCCAGGTCTGGGAATAAACAAAGAAAAGGAGACCTGGGGAAGGAGGCTCCCTGGCTGACCCCCAGCCACACACTTGCCGGGAACTGGAGCCTATGTTCAAACCCAAGAATCTTGGCTCCAGAGCTGTGTTTCTGATTCTCTGATCCCAGGAAGGAGGGGGAGGTACGGGGTCACACAGGAAGGGAGGGGGGCTGGGCCTCGAGACCTGGTCTCATGGCACAAAGCCTGATGAGCCCATACTCTGTGCCTAGAATGATGCGCAGCAGTGGGTGTGGCCTGCAGGGCAGAGTCCTGCACAGTGAGAAGGCACTGGGCAGCCAGATAAGGGCAGGAGGCAGAAGGAAGAATGGCAAAGTGGCCTGAGACAGGCCCCAGGCAGGTGCTTCGTCATGGCTGGGCCTCTAGGGACGCGACCACTATTGACAGGGTCATGGGGAGAGCCTCAGAACCTGGGCACAGGGGTCAGATTTTCTAGCATCCATGACCCTGCAGTGCCCAGTCTGAGCAGTAGCACGGAGTGCAGAAATGAGTGACCAGGAGGACCAGGCAGGGGTCAAATGCCTAAACTTTTGTTTATTCCAAGTGAATATATTTTAA